ACTACTACTACTACTACTACTACTACTACTACTACTACTACTACTACCAGTACCAGTACCAGTACCAGTACCAGTACTATTACTATTTTTGCTGCTACTACTACTACTACTACTACCAGTACCAGTACTATTACTATTACTACTACTACTACTACTACTACTACTACTACTAGTACCAGTACCAGTACCAATACTATTACTTTTTTTGCTGCTACTACTACTACTACTGCTACTACTAACTACTACTAGTACCAGTACCAGTACCAGTACTATTACAATTTTTGCTACCACCACTACTACTACTACTACTACTACTACTAATGACTACGACGACTCCTTTGTTATCTCTCATTGGGCAGTCGGCAGCATGGTGGTAATTCTGACCCACAGTTGTAGCAGCCATCGTTGCTACCCTTGCCACCCTTGTTCTTGTAGTAGCCCGCCAAGATCTCCGTCTTGGAGTCAGCTGCTTGCGATGAGGTAGTCGCGGAGGCGGTGCTTTGCCTTCAGACTCAGCCAACGAGCCATCAGGCTCTGGGGATGTGCTCCATGATTCCATGATCACTTCACCTGTGACTGGGTCCAACACCCGATCCACTGACAGGCGTACCAAGGCGCTGTCTCCTTGATCATATCCTCCGGGACCATGTGGTGGTGGCGGCCTTGGCACCTTCAACTGAACTGCTATGCGATGCGCCGCTCCATGAAGCCTGCCCGCGATCAACGGGCCTCACCAACTCATCTTCACCTGACCATATTCTATACCACATTCTCAACTTCTCCACGTACTCTGGGAAGGGGTACGAGGCATCCCCCGGCATCCAACCGGGTGGAATGTCATGTCGATATTCCGAGAGAGGCAGCGCTCCTGTGGACGATGATGCCGGTGCGATGATGATGATGTAGTTGGGCTGGAACAGGCTGACTTGCACCTGGATCCAGTGGTTCCTGTTTAAGCCGTGTCAGCGTCGCACGGTTTTGCATGTCGGTCAAAAGTGACCGCAACATGCTTTGCCCATTTTAAAGCATCTGCTGACCAACGTAGTGCTTCGTGGGTCAGATCACACCAAGGTTTCAAACGCTGGAGCTCCATTGTCAAGTATGTTGCATCGCCAACAGGAGGGGATCCATTGTAGCACGACCGCAAGGTCATGAGAGCGCAACACCGCGCAGCAGCGGCGGAACTCGAGCCACTGTCTGAAAAGTTCACCCGGAGGACCGGGCCGTTGCAACAGCTGAATTGCTGACGAGCAATCCACCACCATAACCAGTTTGCACCCCTGAAAGGAGGAGGGCTCACGCTGCAAGACCTTGTCCGTGACGGTCTGAATGGCCAAGATGATGGCGACGAGTTCAGCTGCAAAAGCTCAGCGATCTTCCTGTGCCATGCTCTCTGCATGAGTGGTGGAGGAAGAGGCCACTGCCCAGGCAGCGCACCCTGTTCTGGCTCCCCCGTCAGTGGCCAGAAACAATACCTTGTCAGTCAGCCACGTGTGGAGGAGATCACCGATCAAAGTTTTTAACGCTTCAGGAGGTTTGGGAATGGCGGCAGCAAGCTGCACAGGTCGAGGATCAGGTGGAACCACCATGGCCAGCAACCGTTCCTCACGCGTGTTTGCACTGTCACGCTCATGGCGCAGAGCCTCGCATTTCCATAGCACGTGAGGCATGCTTGGTTCTGGGAGGCCACACAAACATGCGGGCGCAGGAATGTCGTGGCGCTTTGCAGCATGCCAAGCTGTAATGCCAGTGGCGTAGACCACCTGTCTTTCCAAACTTGTGGTAGTGGAAAAGGGTACAGATAGCGCCTGCTTCTGGGCATCCATCACCGGTAAATGGAGCCGGTTTGGGCAGGGAAGCACCAAGCCCGTGGCTAAGCCAGGGTCGGCGCGTCGCCGTGGTTTCCATACTCGCTCTTCTGCACGAAAAAGGTCTCGTTTCCAAGAGTGTTCAAGCCAAGCATGAAGGGCACAGTGGCCATCCCATCCCAGGTGAAGGACGCGGAGGCGGCCCAGCTCATCCGTCTTTTGTAAAGTCAGGGGTGGCTGCCAGGTCCATCCGCACTGCCGGATTGTGTCATGGAGCAATCTCGCCCATGGAAAACGAGTCAAGTCACTAAACCAAGAAGCCACTTTTTCCATCCAAGGTGTAGGGACAGTTTTCAAGCGAGCCATCCACTGAAGAAAGCGCAAGGACGCCTTCTGCATCACAAATTTGGGATCGTCCTCTGGTTGGAGGTCGGTCAGCCAAACGTTGTGCCGAGAAGTAGACTGAGGAATCCAACCCTTAACCGCCAAAAGGGCTCATGGTGCCGCATGGTAGTGAGTTTCTGTGCACTCACCCAGCCAAACGCGCCAGCCCAAGAAACACAAGGGAGCACCGTACTTTGCAACAAACGTCGCCGATGGTATTGACTTCGGCTGGCTACACTCACACGCTGTATGCGATGGTGGAACTTATCCAAGCAGCTTTGTCTGATTTCAGTGTGCTTCTTTTGCAAGTCATAGTGTAATCCCAGCAGGTCAACTTCCAGTTTAGGTGCTGAGCAATCTGGTGGCAGCACGGCCGCCAGGTTTGGAAACATGTCGGGGGACGACGTTGCCACCTGGGTCTTGGATTTGTTCTCACGAAAACCAAAAACATGATCAACCTTTTGAGAAATAGCCAGGATTGTGGGCACCCGCAAATGTGCCTCAGGTCCTGTCATCCAAAAAGTACGGTCATCGACAAAAATGCCAACGTTTGTGTTCCCCACCTGGAGGACAGCTGTGGCCCAAATGTTCATCAAAGCCCCTAAGAGCATGGGGCTGAAAGGACAGCCCTGCAGTAGTCCATGATTGGCCTGACGCCACTGTTTGGTCATGGCCCCTTCCATGACAAAAACCCGCCGGCAACTTAGATATAGAAGGACCTCGCAAGTTTACATAGTGATTCAGGCGCGCCCATCTTGGAGATCAAAGCGAGCGCTTGGCCAACATGGACGGTGTCAAAGGCCTTGGTGAGATCCTGTGAACACAACACCAAATCATCTGCTCTTTCAATGTCATGACAGAGGCGGGCATGGAGTCCGATGGCATCACGTCCAGAAAGGCCACCAGCCAGTTCGGGAACAGCCCATTGTTGCGTCCAAGCTCCCAAGCGCTTCACTAATGCAGAAGCTCCAATACGCCAACAAATGGCGTGTTCCTCCTGTAGGTTTGTGAAGCAAAACCACAAGCGTAGTGCTCCAAACTTCAGGGATCTGGCCGAGGACCAGTGCCCGATTCCACAAAAGAGTCAATGATTGCCACCGCGGGTCAGGAAGACGTAACAAATCGTCAGCGCTCCAGCCGTCGGCTCCCGCGGCCTTGCCGCGGCACTTGCGAGCAGCGTGCAAAAGGTCACCGACTTGCAGCGCAAATGCATCTGCGTCCAGTGGGTGATGCGGCGCCAAGGGAAGCCATTCCGACAAAAAATTCAGGTGCTGGTCTTTGGCTAGGGGCCACGCAGTTTGTAGTGACGCCGTACCATCGGCAGGGTGTGGAGTGTTCCACAGTTGATGCCAGGTGTCAGCTTCTTGTTCCACTCGATCCCGTGGATGGACGCTCTTGTGCAACACAGAATTCGTCGAAGGAGAAGGGGTGGGAGCTTGTTTCCGCAACCACTGTCGTTGCGCCGCCGGGTTCTCATGAGTGTTTTCCATCCAACGATGGAGGCGCAGGTTTTGCTGCGTTTGGGTTTCCATGTGGAGCAAAGTCTCAACTGTCGGGATGACATCAACAGCTTCAACGCACTGTGTCAATTCAGGGTAAAGGTGAGTCAGCGCAAGGCGTTTCCTCAACAAAGCCTGCTGAGAATCAAAACACGGCCTTCGCTGGTGTTCGCGCGCCGTTCTCAGTAATCGAAGCAACCTCCGGTGTTTTACTGACTCAGCAGGGTGAGCATGCTTTGACTTCTGAGGTCTCTGTGTGGGCTGCCAAGGAATTGCTCGGCGGTGTCCATGGGGACTCGATCCAAGTAGTTCTTCAGCGACATCGCTCAAAAGTGTCCAAGCAGCATCCAAATTGCCTGCTAATAAAGCATTGTCGGGGCCCAGTCTTCAAAAAATGCATTGCAGTCGAACACTACGCCATTGGCAAGCAAGTGTGCAATGCAGCCCTCATCCTGCTGACAATTGAAATCTCCAAGCATGACAAAGTCCTGCCAGTATGGCGAAGAAGGCGACCGGTGTGGCGCAACAACTCATCACGGGCCACCCTGTTGGCTTGGTGTGCATACACATTGCACATCAAAAGAGGGCAACCTCCTTCCCGATGGAGCTGCGCAAATTGAACACGCGATAAGTCAATTGGCGCTTCTTGCCGCGCCGGGCTCCAAGCTTCACATGGCACTTTGGACAGGATGGCCGTTCTGTGGTGACCATGGTGCAAAGCTCCAAGCAACAAAGAGCAGCCACGGCTGGTGGCTTCGGCCTGCAAGCCGATGGCGCTGCTCGCATGTATGTTGGCCTCTTGTATGCACAAAAATGTGAGACTCTGTGTGTGGAAAAGGGAGAAAACTTCCTCAAACGTGTGGATGAAATGTTGCACGTTGAGTGTGCCCAGTGTGAGTGCATGTGCCTGCGGTTCCATCATGGCTGGCAGGGCCCGTGTGCCTGTGTGTTGGCTGCAAGGTTCTGCTGCAACATCTGGATGGTGGTGTTTGTCAACGTCCGCATCTCGCCGGGTGTGTGGAGAGGTGTGGGCTTAGGTGTATCAGCAATGGCCTGGAGGCGCTGGATCATGGCCCGGCGGCGCTTAGCGTCAGGCTTGGACATGCGAGCCTGGCAGGGCTTGGCTAGGATGGTGCGCACCTTCTGCTTGCTATTCTTACAAAGTTTGCCGCATGCCTTCTGCTTGCAGAGCCGGTGCCGTCATCCTCAATGATGATGATCTGTTGGTGGCACCAGCGATGATGATCTTTGAGATGTTGTAACCCTCGTCTGCCGAGATCTTGCCGAAGGAGGTGTCAACCTTATGGGTGAGGTCTCCTGGATCGAAGCCGACCTCCCACGCCACACGTGTGCGGCAGCCGCGAGACGCTCCGCGACCCGTGCCACGAGTGAACGGCCGGCGCGACCGTGTCGGGCGCGGGAGCCAACTCCTTTTCGGAGCCGGCTCCGCTACCAAACTCGCTTCTTTGAACCTCAAGGCGCGCCTGGATCAGGCATGTATGCCATGTCATGGAAACTTCACTACCATGGACTACCCGAAACAACCAAAATCAAGCCGTTTCTTCCATTCTTTACATTGTTTGGGCCAGTCCGACCCATCTGATTCGGTGGAACCGTCGGACCCCCATCCGCCCGGTCTCTCCGGGTCATAGGTCTCGGCGATGAACTGGCCAATTTGCTCCTGACGATCGAAGACGTCTCTGGGCGTTCTCGCGTTCTCGAAGCATGATCCAAGCATGATCGAACGAAAAGGAGGGGTTCTGGTCTTTGGGGTGCTGGTTTCTTGATCCAACAAGTGAGTGCACAGTGGAAACCCCTATAGTCTCCGAAAAGCAGTTGCAAATTTAATATGAATCGGTGGGATTTTGAGAACACCAGCTGCTAGACACTCCCTCTCAAGACTCGGGTAGAAATGTATGGTCAATGTATGACAATATCATGACATTATCATGACAATATCATAATTATCGCTGTATCTTTCCCCTGCGCTGAAGTTGAGCGGCTGGCTTCCAAGTTGAGCTATCCCTCAGCAATGCTAGAAACAATCTAGTAGTGGAGGGCGGAGGGTGTTCGCAAGGAAGTCGGGAATCCCTACTCACCTGGTTTCCAAACCCTCAAAAGATCTCCGAAGAATCAACCACTACTTCACGGAGTCAGTCTTGTAGACAAGCAAAACCTCCCACATCTGAGACTACAACGGCTAGAACGGCTGAAAAAAATTGCTTTAAACAATTTATAAAAGCATGGGACTCCAGTCGACAGGGTGACCCAAGTTCTGGAACTGTTTTTTCAATGTGGCAAAATATACTTTACACTTCCAAAGCATATGGCGCACACGAAAACCACCCACACTCACCAAAAACAGCTTCAGGCCCTTCTGGCGCAAAAATCCACCAACAGCCTCCAGGCCTGGAAAACCCGTCCTTTCGCCTTGGGGATCAACGGATCAACCAAGGGGATGCCGCGGCCAACCCACCCTCTCCTTGAGCGCATCTTGCCCCGAAGCGTCGAAGTGATTCAGGGAACCTGCGATGCCCCTTGTTCCTAGTAGCTTCTTGTTACTAGTAGTAATGCCAGGAGCTACTAGTAGCGTCCTTGTGGCTCACATGTGGAGTGCGATCTTAACTCATTCGTTCTGGTCCTCACCTTGGAAGCAAGGGCTACCTTGGAGACACTTTTTTGGTTTAATCTCAGCTGTCCATTTAAGAACAAACATTGCACGCATAGAGCTGTTTACACACCCGTGAGGTCAGCACAATACACAGCTGTGTCCACATGGGCCAAAGAAGCTGCGCATATTCCACCATGAAGTGCAGCATATATTGATTGGTCTCTATATATTATTAACTATATTCTATCCAATCAAATTACCGTACTCTATCTTGAGGTGCGTGTTTGCTGACTCCTTCCCAAAAAGAAAAGGAAACGCAGAAAATCACAAAAGCATGCAGAAAATACAACACCACCCCAAACTCTCTCAAGCAAGAGGGCCACTGGCTGATTGACCTGTTTACATCTGCTTACCCTTTCAACACGCGGGCCATTTAGGCATTCAGCGCAGGAGAAAACGGGACGAGCCGTCGGCCGCCGCGCCTGCGTTGTACACCGGCTGCCCTGCCGGTGCCTCTTTACGGCCCAGTGAGCTGGTGGACTGAAGCAAGGCAGCTCCTGATGGCCGAAGCCACTGGACGAGGTTCGATGAACCTGTCACATGGAGTCACATGGATTGACATGGAAGACTTCTTAGCGGATTTCCAGTGCCATGTCAGTGACTGGCGAGTCTGAGGGTACATCCTTTACGGGGCTTGGGCGCCCTCAGACGCCGAAAAACGCTGTTGAGGTGCGTAGAAACTGTTCTCCCCGCGACGAGGTCGCTGGTCTATGCTCATGTGGAAAGTGGTTGGGAACTCCCTGTAGCTCCAAACAGCTTACAACGAGAGAGAGAGAGAGAGAGAGATGGCCATACTGGTAGTACCATGTCATACCTCCAGATCCTCTGCTTTGGCTGGTCACTTTCAAGGACGAGAAATCGTGGGAAACTCGTGAGACTACCCTTGATCTGGATGAGGCATGCTGGGTTTGTCAGACTTGTGTTAACACGTGAACAACAATGTCCTTGCGCGAAAAATAAAGGGGTGGATTTGGTACCATGCATATATGCTGTAATATATTGTAATATATATATAATATATATATACACCTTTTGGTAGTTCATCCGGAGGCATCCTCTCTCTATTCACTATTCATCAGCCCAAATTGGGCCACTCTTTGGGCCGGTGAACGGGGCCGGGACCGGAAACCTTCGGACGCGCTCCATCACCACCGGCCCCGGGCCCAAGGCCCCCCCCAGGCCGGCTGAGTCTCTCAAGGACGCCTTTACAGGTGGTGGTCTGGTAAACATGAATTCCATATTAGTCCATCCAACATCCAACCCATCCGCTTTCGTGTGTTTGCCGGTTCGCGGTCATGGCTGGAATTCTGTGCTGCTATGCTCCGTTCTCGCCGGCGAGTCCCACACGCGCGGAGCGCGTACGGCCTGTCACACACTCGTCCGCCGCTGCGAAGACCCACAGGCTCGCGAAGAGGCCAAAGCCGCGGCTCGTAAGATTGGGGCGCATCCCTTTGGGATGGAAATCGATGGAGAGTAAGATGAGTCTAAGGTCCAAAGAGGGGCTGCGGCGAACGCGGCGAAGTCGGACTTGGAATTTGCGTTTCAACCATGTACAGGCAAGCCAGTGAAATATTCAAGCGTGATGTCCAGAATGCATTTGCAGACTGTTCAGGGAGACCTTCTTCTCAGTGCCAAGTACCAGGCATAGGTGATGGCCGAGATGATGCCATACGCCAGCATCAGAATGAAGTACCTCCGTTCATGGCAATTGAGTGGCAGCAGCAACTGTTCATAAACTGCCCTTTGCCACCATTTGCAGGTTAAGTTTAACGTGCGGAGACCGTCCCGGAAACCCCCGATATATTTACATAATATTAACCAAAATGAACTCTGAACCAGGAATTCCAAGATTGCCCATTGGGCAAACGCAAAAAGTAGCACAGTACCGTACATCATTTTACCGCTCCAACGACCAGTCGTCCCATCCCAAAGGAGGCGTCGTCCAAGGTGCTTGTGGTTCTTGGCACCAACACCTGGGTCTGTTCGATTGGAGCACCAGGGAAATTCAACCTCCTGTGCTGTCAATGTGTGCGCAAAAGGACAAGCAGCACACACCATTGTGGTAAATGCAACTTGCACAAAGCTTGAAGGGATTGACTCAGCTTCAGGGCTTCAAGATGTGACGGAAGCGAGTGTGGCAGCAAGTGTAGCAGCTTATCCATATACTATGGCACAGTCCCTGAGAAAAAACCAAACGATGCTTGCGTTGAGTCTTTGAGGTGCAAATACGAGATCTCATGAAGTTTTGATAGAAAATGATAGAAGCATGTGGTACAGTATGGTACAGTGATGTACAGTGATGTACAGCGCCCCCAAACAAAACTCGCGCATGTCAATCGTGGATACTGAAAAAAGAACAGCTGTTTAGTTAGATTGCAAACCAATGGAAAACAGTTGTGACTCCCCTGTAGCACATTGCAAGCTCGCTACAGCGGCACCAAACCAGCCAAAGAACGCAAATCGAGGCATCCAGGCACACAGCACCAAGAAGCATCAACCAAACATCCAGCAGAACCGCACCGCAAAGAAGCAACTATCGAGGCATCAAATAGTCAACGCAAAATAAGAGTACCGCCCACTCATGCCCACTCACAACACACGCGCTTGACCAAGGCGCAGTTTCCAACCCAGGGGCAGTGATGGTCCTCAGCAACATTGGACAAAGAGCCCAGATTGCCCCCAAGACAGGACCATCAAAAAACGAAATACCTTGAACTGAGCCCTCTGAATATGTTTTCCGTATGCCCTGGCCTTCCGAGATCATGAAAGGAAAGGTTGACCTGGTTTCTATAGTGTATAATCCTTATATAGTAAAACAATTGTTGTTCAGTAAAACCCTTTGAACCAATGGTGGTTGGAATCCTATGGGATATGTGTTCCCTGTTTTGGCAGGTGAACATGCTGGCTCCTGTGGTGAAGGCTCTGTTTCATCTGCCCCTGGCTCACGCTCGTCCACAACGAGTGGCTGAGTTGGAACTGCAATGTCTCCCAAGGACCTCGTCTTACGAATTACGAATCACATGTTATTTCATCCCTACCCCTTAGCAGGGGGGCACCTCAAAAAATGGTTAAGGGGGTGGGGATGTTAT